CTAGGTAGCTAACAGCTTTCTGATTGGATGAGAGAGCTGCTCCACAAGAGGGGATTTCATTTCCAGTACTGTAATCCTGGTGGCAAACCCTTGGCCGAGGAGGTCACAGGCCCTAGGGTGGAGACTCCTATTGCTATTTTGCTAAATGGTCATGCTGTCAAATGGTTTTCCATCTGGTTACATTTTATACCCATACACCCGGGCTGCTCTCAACCTTGGTATGAGAACAGCGGTCACTGGAAAGGTGCGTAACTTGTCAAAGGGCTAAGGATAGGAGACTCGGTGCTCAGCCCCAAACAATAATCTATATTAATGTTCCCACCACCAAGGCACAAGCAGCAGCACTGGAGACATACTGTAAGAACCCGAGAGTGGGGAGTTCTGTGATACACTGTCTTCTGTCTATTCCGCCATGAACTCACAGCAGCTATGGTTATTTGTGCAAGAACTGCACAGGATCAAACCAGCCAGGCCCTGCCCTATACCGAAGAGTTTCTGACAATAACTGCAGGGAGGGATCATTCATTTATTTTTATGTGAGTATTTTGCCTGCAGTATATATATGCATTGTGCGCCAGTAGAGGCCAGAAAGAGGGAATGATCTCCCGGAACTGCAGCTGTAGATGGCTGTGAGCTACCACGTGGGTGCTGAGAATTGAACCTGGGTCTTCTGCAAGAACAAGTGCTCGTAACCACTGAGCCATCTCTAAGGCCCAGGAGAATCATTCTTTATTGAGTCAACCAATGGTAACCGGCAGATTTTCCAGTGGAGAGCCGCACACACATGTACACATGAGTAGTAGCAACCGGACTTAGTGGGTTATCAAAAAAAAAAAAAAGGCAGAAGTTGGAAGGGTTTGAGGGGATTGGAAGGGACAAAGAGGGATGGATACAATTATATTTTATTATATACACATAGGAAATTCTCCAAAATAATGAAGAATTTAAAAATAATAAAATAACACAAAATAAAAACTGTTTCAGCTTAAAGAAATAAATTAAGTGTAATCTACAGTAATTGGGGCCAAAGAGTGACTAAAGTTTTAAATCAGGATAAGCATTAATAAAATGTTCCAATAGACTCTGACTTCTCAGGACAGCGAAGAACCCTGTGACGTTTTAGGACTACCTTAAGAAAAGCCGATTCAAGAGTATTTTATGTAGTATGTACAAAAGTTTTATCTCAGCGATTTGAAGTATAATTGGCTGAAAATGTAGACTGAGCCTAAATCCTTTAGGAGTATGCATGAGTGATGGCGTCATTCATGTTTTCCTTGAGTACAAATGGCTGAGAGAAAGTCCAGACTGAAGAATACCAAGTGCCCAGTAGATAAGGAATAACACCCACTAACTGCTCCATAAGTTTCAGTGGACTATGTAACGGTATAATTTGAAATGAAGGCTCCCCTTGATAGTGGTACCTCCTGCTCATCGGCCCACGATGCTGGCCTGGACAGCACTGGGCAGGCTTAACGTCAGGCACCTTCCTTTAGCTTGCTGAGATTGAGAGCTGCACAGCAAGTGACCCGCCCGCAGGCAAGCAGTTGTGCCTCTCTCGTAAGAAATAGAACTAGATGTGCATTCTGTTTCATGGGAAGACAGCTCAGAAAAGCGTCTCAGAAAAAAATGTTCATGATCCAGATTTGAGCTATTTTTAGGCAGGGTAGTATTTGGTTTCCAAACAGCAATTGGAGGAGGGGACCATACTGCCCACTATCGATCCAGATTATAAGCAACAGTGTTGAACCTGGAATCCAATCAGCTTTGTCAGAGCCTTTCTACCGTTTCCAGATGGGTAATTTAAGAAAGGCACTCACGCTGGCCCTGAGTCAGACTGAGTTCCCTCTTATAGAAATAGAGCTGACGACGGTGCCAACTTCCCCGGGGTTGTGCGAAGAGTCAATGGGTTTAAACACAGAGAGCCCTTAGAAGTGGAGCTGACCCACAGTCCCTAAAATGTTACCTCTTCTGCTAGTAAAAAGTGAACATTTCTTCGTGTTCACGTGAGTGAGTTGTGGTTAAATTACTTCAAATATGGAAACCTCCTTTGTCTTGGTCATCATTCAAATGAATTCCCCAGTCAGGGCTTCTCTTCTCATAAACAGTTTTTAAAGAGAGCTGATTAAATCATGGATTGGAGAGATGGAATGAATTATCCTGAAGCCATATTTGTTTCTTTACTGCACAGATGGCTGAATAAAATCTGTGTTGATTGCACCTTCCTTTGGCTCATTAAGGATCTGAGCGCGGCAGCTTCCTGGGAGTGAGTAGGAGCTGGCTTGATTGACGGATCTCCTCAGTACACCAGACTTCACAGGCGGGGAAGATGCCCACTGGGAGAACACGTCAGCGAAGGCCAGGTTGCTATGACTCGGCCCGCCCCTGTGGGACAGATGTCCCCCTTACATGAAAGAGGTGGAAGAGACTTCAGCAAAGGCAGCAGAAGAATGGCGAAATGATTACTAGTGACTTCAAACTGTAATTAGATTTTCAACAGCAGGAAAAAAAAATGGTCCAATCCTTGACTTTCTTTCACACAGCGTTGCCCATTTGGGACATTTTGTGCTCGTTGGCTCAACCATCTCATTCAAAACAGGCTCATGTGTTTGTAGGATATTGAAAGCTGTTAATGAGTGAGTGTGGGATCTGTTGGCTTTGAACTTGCCCATTACATGCACGAACACTCGGACCCATAAATTATTCCCTGGGAGTAATCTTTAGTGAGTTGCTAGGAGATGGCCAGTTCATGGTTTCCTTTGATTACAGGGCATAACCGCTCATTGTCAAAATGCCAAAATAAAATTTAAAAAGCCCTACAGTGATCATGTAACCTACTGCTTTCCTGTTACTTCCAGTAAGATATTAAAACTCAGAGTGTTTCGAACAAAGGGAGGCGACAAAGAGAGCCAAGAATGTCTCTGGTATCAGAGCAAGGCTATTGTTCTCCAACAGCAGCCCAGCATTCAACGGATAGTGTTTGTTTTATGAAATTATTCATATATTTACTCATGTCTTAAAACAATAGCATTACGCATGGTTATGAGCTGATATGGGGTTAAGGGTCCCTTACCACATAAAGTAAGTGCTTACATACATGCCTGCAGTTTTAGGTCAAAAAAGGCAGTGTGCCACAAACTGAGAAAAACAAACATGTCAAGTGAGCTAAACTAGGAAAAAGAGAGGAAACAGGAAGGGAAAAGACCAGCGCTCAATTCACTGCTTCCTCTATGAACACTTTTGAGTGACGTCATCTATTCTGCTGGTGGCCAGCACAGTGCATACAGTGGCAATTACTTAGGAGCTGGAGGACATAGAGTGACTGACTTCTCTGATCTACCGTCAGTTTCTACAGCCATAAGTAGGATAGGACCAAGGGGAAGGCGGGATATACTAATGGATGCAACAGAAAGGCACCTGGCATGAGATAAAAATAAAAGACACAAGCTGTTGTTTCTCCCTGGGACTGTCAGTGTTACTTTCTCGTAGGCTGAGGGCAACTCCACAGAGCGCAAGTGTGAGGACTCACCATAGGCCACTTCAAATAACGGAAAAGCCAGCGGCTCCCCGTGTTTAGATGAATAGGGTAAGTTAGCTTATGTTATCTAAGAAAAAGTTTGAGGACCAAAGGAAAAACTGAAAACTGCTATGTTGTTAATTTTTTCCATTGCTGATTGCTACTTTACTTAACAATTATAAGCTGGCTATATATATATATATATATATATATATATATATATATATATATATACACACACACACACACACACACATACGCAGTCCTCAAGTTGGGTCCTTGTTGAGTGTGCGCACAAGGCTCTGTTTACTCCATCTAAACATCCTAAGCTATCCCAAGTGGCAAAACCAGAACCCAGAACGTGCACACTCTTCTGTGCTGGGGCTTCCGGATCCCAGCACTTAATTAGGTGGGTGCCTGCAGGTCAGTTTCTACCTTTGTGGATTTTCCTCATTTGCACAACGACAGCCAAATGTTTATAATTGTTCCATGCTCTCCTTTTTGTAAGTTCACAGGCCAGTTGTGAACTATGACCCTCTTTCCAGCTCGCTTCTAAACTACCATGTGTAAGCCCTGTTAAAAAACCGGAAGCAGCTGGATGATTTACTTCGCTCTGCAAAGGAGTCCAACTCCCTACGAATGGGTTGCCAGATTCCATGGAACAGCACATTTGCCCATGAGAGAGTCTTACATAGATCCTGGCTTTCAGACATTTACCCTGCCTGCTGCCTGTTGGATCAGGAAATGAATGTGATACGTTAAAAGCCAGTCATTAAAAGCAGCATCTAGTTCAGGGGAGCAGCAGGTAGGGGTTGCAGCTCTAAACTGTCAAAAATGCTCCAGGAAAAATGAAAAAAAAAAAAAAACTAGGCTTGTCTGTGTTATTTTTAAAGAGACTCTAAAATCAACATGAAGCATAAAGTGCAATTAATTATTCAGTGAGCTCAGGTTAGGACACTCTACACTGAGGCGATTCAAACATTTTTCTTCCTTTCTCTTTCTCTCCAGCGTCTGGCTATCAGTTTTGGGACATATAGAGTAACAGTTATCCGGATCACTTTCTGCAACTCCATCCTCAACCTACTTTTTCTTTGTAAATAAACCAAATGAAGGCAGAGGGATCGAGTGCCACGCTTCAAAAACATTTGTCTCGATAGCTTAGTGACGAGCTTAATTTGGCTATGATTAGCTGAGCAGAAGGTGTGAGGTTTAGCTGGAAATGAGTAACCCTTGACAAGGTGAAAAATCTTCCTTCACTTGTTGAGATAGCCCAACATTTGTTCTTCCTCTACGTTTGGCAACAAAGCCCTAGTAAGACGCCACCCAAATGCTTCTCTCAAATATAGTTAGGTTATGCGGCAGGGAAAGTCAACATCCTCAGATGTCCAAACCTCCCCTTCTTTCCTTATTTATAGATATCTTAGCCAGACACACGGCTTTACCCAGCGTTCAGTTACAGTTCTCAGGTTCTGTGACCAAATTTTACCCAGTGGTCCTGCGAGGGAGTCACGGGGGCCTCGTGTTTCAAGAGGTGATGGTCTTTAAAGCAAGCACCATGCTAGCCTCTCTCACTTTGTTCTTCTGGTTAGAATGTAGCTGTTTGGGTCTCAAGTGGGAGCCAGGCCACAAAGGGAAAGGGAGGGAGCTAAAAAAAAAAAAAAGGCAGAGATAAAAGGTTAAAGGAGGCCCTGTCAACTGTACAGCTGCCTGCAGCGCAGCTGTTTGCTCAGAGTCAGACATAATCATCACCGTCTTGGAAACAGCAGTTGTGATGAAGGCCTCACGAAGTCAGGTCTATCCACCTGCTCATTTGGTGGGGCTGTTGGGAAGACAGTACCAGACCGGGCACCACCAGGAGCCCTGCCCAAAGGTAATCGCAAGAAAAACAAACTTAATTTTTTTTTTCCTCCTCCTCTTTAGCCAGGAGAGATATGACTGTCCGATTTGTTGTCTCTCTGAGGACAAGATAACCATGGCGACCAGATCTTTGTCCTCATTTCCCGTAAGAACAGCACAGCAAATAGCAAGGAGTTTTTAAGGCCAAGATAAGAAACCTTTTGGGGCAGGCAGTGGAAGCCTTGCCTTTTCCTTTTGGTCATTTTCGACTGGAATTTTGATCGGATGTGAAAAAAATGTCAGGGATTGGAAACCAAACACAGTGGAGAAAACATTTTACTTTGTTATGACCAAAAACCCTAGGCCATAATCCCCATGAAACTAACCTTTCACTGTAAAACACAAGCTGCTCCAGGGGACTAAGTAAATCGCTTGAGGTATTGCTCTCTGCCAGACAACTGTGGCCACCTTGGAATTACAGGCCTTTGTCCCTTGTAATTAGGCCCTGTGTTGCTCAACTTCCAAATAATTTAACAAAATTATCATTTGAGAATACATCTCCCTACCCCACCCCCAAAGCTATTTTCTATTTTTCTTTCTTTCTTTCTTTCTTTCTTTCTTTCTTTCTTTCTTTCTTT